AGAAATTACTTCTTTTGATTTTTAACATCAGCCTTTACGAGGATTGATCACTTGTAATGAAATTGTGAGAGTTGCTATTTATTATTTATTATATTAGGCGATATAATTTTATAAATAAGAACTTTTTGGCTAATGCAAAATGTCATAAAATTGTTTACAGCCAATTACATGAGGTCTCGGTTTTACTAAATTCTCTATCTTCTTTTTGTTAATTGATACCTACAACAAGAACTGTAAAATGTGGAACAAACGTATCTAATGAATATTTTAAGATATCCAAAATATTATGGAAGTGCTTTCTTACATTGAGTAAAACAAATTCATGAATTATATGTACGTACTATTTTAGTTATGACCGTATATTTGCATTTAATATACTTACCTTCCCTGTGGGATAAGCCAACTCTGTAGGCACACTCTGGTACAGGATTTGTTTTCAGTAAAGTGAAAGTAGCAGAGTAGAAGAGTGAATACTGTAACGTATTAGCCAGCGTGCCTCATGGCATCTATTTGGGGACGCTTGGGAGCGGATTAGCCTAGCCACAGGAAGAAGGGTTTTTCCGTAAATGGAAGAACGCGGAGACGGGAGACACAAGGCTTTGGGTGTCTTCCGGCTTATAGAAGCCTTTCACTGTTATAACAAGCGAGGGGGTGGCGTGACGTAGGAGGTCACGTGGGCCTCGCCTATATAACAGAGTGTACGGAGCCAGTAGGTGGGAGAACCTCGTGCGTGTGCACAAAACTTGGCGCCAAGACGGTGCATATGCGAGCCAGGCTCGCGAGGCTGGAGTCATTAGTTGACGAAGCCTGCGGACTTTGTGTCCTTGGGTGACTGCGGTCACGGGGGAGCGATGCTGTGTGCGTGCTCCGAGGTGAAGAGTGGTTGAGTGCCACGATTCACGCCGATTCTCAATCGGATAAGATCGCTCCTGCTATCGAGGCAAACCAGCCGTTGGTGCGCCAGAACGGACTTTGTGTCCCAGCGTGACATCCGGTCACGGAAGCTAGGCTTTGTGCGCGCTTCAAAAGTAGAAGTGGTGAATGCCACAATCAAAATCATCTTCAATCGGGTTTGGATCGCTCCCGCGATCAGGGGATAGTAGGTCTATCAGAGCCAGGGTGTAAGTAGATTGTTAAGTGTATATATTTGTTTTGTTTTCTTGTTAATAAATATATTTGTTATACGAAAGCTCTGTGTCTGTGGTCGCTGTGAGTATCCATGACGTCACAATACATCAATAAATGATCTATTACTTTCCCAGGAGTTTCTCGACTTATAAAAATTGTTTGTATGTAGAAACACTGAAATCTTATTTATACTGTCTCGGAACAGCTCTACCAGAAGTTTCATAATGTAACGTTTTTCAGTGGTGAATTAAAACACAACACTCTCAGGTAATATTTAACAATTACGTTTATTCGTAAACAATTCTACACTAAAACTACTTGATCTATATACAGGTATATTGCACTGTCCTTGTGTTCTTCACTGCACTGACCACAATCCCCTGCGCAGACCACACTTCACTGCGCACACCATGGTCCACTGCACTGCTGTTTACCACGATGCACACTTCACAGCTCAGCTTCTACTGCAGACTTCAAACTGCTGACTGATGTTTCCCCACTGCACGACTGTTTACCGCGATGCACACTTCACAGCTCAGCTTCCACTGCAGATTTCAGACTGTTGACTGCTGTTCACCCACTGCACCACTGTTCACCGCAATGCACACTTTACAGCACCGCTTCCACTTCAGACACACTGACTGCTTATTCACTGATTACACACAATAACTGATTCGTGGCTACTTAATTCCGACTGACTCTACTTCTTGACTACTTCTCGCGGCCGCCGGCAGCGGCGAATTTATACCTGGCCGACGCTCGTCTCGACACAACCACCTTTCTTGGCGACTCGCGAATAGTCCGGAACCGTTCACTTCGAGGGGAAGGGGGCGCCGGCAGATGACGCAATCCGCGCGCCGCGAATCCGGCAGGTGATGCAATATTCGTTACAATGGGAATGTGTTAGTTTCTTGTAGAACCGAGGCCATCATTTTGTAGAACTTAAGAATATCTTGTGAACTAACTTGGTAAACAATAAAAGGATTTGTTTTACTGGACTTCAGTATTAGCTCTGCATATTGTTATGGTGTGTTAATCCGATCGACTTGCTGCAAGACACGTTTGAGACAATAAAAGCCTCTATCACATGCTGAGAAAGAATGACCACGCACAGGAAAGTTATCACTGATCGTTGAAAATAGTCCTCTGTCACAGAGATTCAGCAAAAATCTCACAACAGTGTGATTTTTGTTTAGTCCTGATGGACCATCACTGAGGAGTATCAGATATTTTACTGTACTTGGTATTTCTGTCTTTATATAATTTAGTAAAAACTACATACTTCGTCTGGCGATTTATTTGTTTCTCCATCATGATAAAGATACATTTTTGACTTATTAGTTTTCAAATTGTGAATGCTAAAAACATTAATCTACAGCTAGCACAATTAAAAAATTCCCTTTACTGGAATGTTTGGCAATGGCAAATTCTGCATGTAGTCAAAACACAATAAGCAAGTTTCATCGTCGTTGTTTTGAGAAGTCGCTTTCGTACTAGTGTAAACTTTGTGAACATTGAATTCTCCCACTGCACTTTGTTTTGAATTGTTATTTCAAGTTTGATCTCTCAATTTAGCGTTTAGCTTTTTACACACATCACAACATCAACCTGAATCCGACCAATTTAATATCCAAATGTTCACTAAAATATTTAATATAAAAGCTGTACTTCACTACATCTTTCAGATCAGGATTGTCAGCATTTTCTTACATTTTAGTGACGTTCAGACGAGCGTCTAGATAGTTTTTCGGTTTATTACCGTAGTGGGTCTCTTTAACTTTAAACTTCGAAATGTGGTCACGGATACGAACACAAACAGCTCCAGACACAATATTACCACTCCTGCTCTTGCCGCTTTCGTCAGAAGAGGACTTATTTTTAAGCAATAACTGACAAATCCTACTCACTCTGTCTCGTGAAATGCCATGTATTTCCAGAAAAACGTTCTTGTAAACTGTCTTTAAAGTACCGTTTATTAAGATTCTTATTCCGCAAGATCGTTCTCAAGGCTCAGTTTATCATCTGCGCACTATTTCTTACGTCTTCGCCGAATTTGTTTTGCCTTTATCAAAGTTTGAATATATAGATCTTGAATGTTTCTATTCTCTAGAGAATAAAAATAATTCCAGGTATCGTTTATTACTTTTTCATAAATAGATGTACAGCATTTATTATTGCATTTACATAAAATAACTTCCAGCTTTGTTTTTAGATCTACTTTCTTACAGGTCTTCGAAACATATGCCTCGCCTTTCACCCTGGCATTGCGTATGATATAACGCTGATACGTTTCATGACGAACTCCGCGTCTCCTTTTACGAACCGGTTCATCTACAGAACTTGACATATTCTCACAAAAAATTACTTTTTGTTACTCACTAATCTCAGAAAAATGAAGCCATTTCCAAAAGAAACTTCGAAACGCCACTCTGAACAGATGCTACTTACAAACTGAGAACAACAATTCCGCTACTTTTACAAGGGAAGATAGGGATCACGACGAAAATTCCTGTATCTTTCTTAGAAAATCTTCCCTCCCGAACGTGTAACCTAACTGACCCCTGGGGTGGTGCTGATAACCCTTCAAACGTGCGTCCACTTTCTTCTTACCCTCATTTACTGTCACAGAAGATATTGAATTTCATCAATACGAAGGGAAACATAGTAGGAGTGTGACATAGTGTGAATGAAAGTAATTCACTTCACTCGTATTCTGCGCGAGAAGTTTCCTGATGGATCGATGGGAAAATTCGAATGCTCAATTGAGGCAATGTTGCCACGTTTTGTTGTAACCAAGTATGCATCAATCATAGATATTGATGATATACTGGTAATGAACATTGTTGACTGTAATAGCATCATTGGAATCACATTCTAACATTGAAATAGAAAAAAAGGAATATTGAATTTCTAAACCTTATGAATACATGGTACTCCTTTATATTTTTAGACCGTAAATGAATTGTTAGCTTGTAAAATTATAAGTGAAATTCCATTTGTGGATATCAATGAATCATTTTCTTTATTGATATTATTATCGTTGTTGTTATTATTATTATTATTATTATTATTATTATTATTATTATTATTATTATTAGTAGTAATAGTAGTAGTAGTAGTAGTAGTAGTGGTAGTAGTGGTAGTAGTGGTAGTAGTGGTAGTAGTGGTAGTGGTGGTAGTGGTGGTAGTGGTCGTAGTAGTCGTAGTGGTCGTAGTGGTGGTAGTGGTGGTAGTGGTGGTAGTGGTGGTAGTGGTCGTAGTGGTCGTAGTAGTCGTAGTGGTCGTAGTGGTCGTAGTGGTCGTAGTGGTGGTAGTGGTAGTAGTGGTAGTAGTGGTAGTAGAGGTAGTAGTGGTAGTGGTAGTAGTGGTAGTAGTGGTAGTAGTGGTAGTGGTGGTACTGGTTGTAGTGGTCGTAGTGGTGGTAGTGGTGGTAGTGGTCGTAGTGGTCGTAGTGGTCGTAGTAGTCGTAGTAGTCGTAGTGGTAGTGGTCGTAGTGGTCGTAGTGGTAGTAGTGGTAGTAGCGGTAGTAGTGGTAGTAGTGGTAGTAGTAGTAGTAGTATTACATGATTTAATTACTCTGAATATATAGTTAAAGCACAGAGCAAAGGAAATATTTATCATATAATTTTACAATATATTTTTTCGATTAAATAACGATTATATGAAAAATATTTTGAAAATTAATGGTGAACACTTGATTATTTTATATTTTTAATGGAATCAAATTTTAAGTTGTTGCATTTTTAAACATTTCATTGCAACTGATTATCATTCAGCTGACGTTATTTTTCAATGATGAAACACAACTAAAAGTGTATCAAAAACGAAAAGATGTACTTTCGATTTAAAGAAGTTACAATAGTGAAGTTTGGTCATTCGTTACAAGATGTCAGCATGTGTTTGTTAAAATTTTGGGGACGAAAGTGCATGATATGTACAATAGATGGCGACAGAAAATAAAGCAGCCATCTTTGTTATAGCCTGCGTTTATGATTTGAGAAGTTTTGGGGAGGAAATCCTTGAACCAAAAGTTTGGTATTTTATCTGAAGATATTTATCGTAGGTACGTTTTCCATTTACAATTATCGTCTTTGCTTAGCTTGCGAAGTTGCGATATAAGTATGTAGTGCCATGGAAGCATGTGTTGGTTACAAAACTGGAATTGCGAATATCCCATCGATCTTGTGCGACGAAAGAAAGGATTCCATTTCGTTGATCCCGTTCGAGTCTGGTTCTGTGTTGACCATGCCGGTCAAGATATTAGAAGTTAGTTTTGATGTGAAGGATCGTGGAGCCGAGTGCTTTTTGGAAGGTTGCTTTTGAAATATGTTCAAAATTTGTGTAAAAACGTGAAGTATCTTTCTTGAATGACTACGTCTGTTAGGAGGGGTAGTCATAAATGTGAGGTTATGATAATACTGTAAGTTTACATCAGTTTTTCGAAGTTTTGGAATAAGGCATCGGCTTTTTTAGTTACAGTTTTTTATGTCATTGATTTTTTTATATTTAGATACTTTGTACCACCAGAATTGTTAAGCACATATTCTGACAATTCTATTAAGTGCAGTATCTCCTAGGATTGTTTCAGGTTAATTAACATAGGTGATACCTTTGTAGTAGAAATGTGATCCAGCCCAGCTATATTCTGTTGTATACTATGGGACTTGTAAATTTGGAATGTGAAGTCACTTTGCCCTAGTTGCAATTTGAGTACATATGTTTTAATTTTCAACATGAAATTATTTTCAAATATTGAGGGTTTGTTTTTTGAGTGTTTGAATTACACTAGTTTGAACACCTTCATTTGCCTTTAAATTTAAGGATGGGTTCTCAGTTTGCATATGAAATGATTATGCATATTAAATGACAAAACCTTCAGGTTGTGCACCTTAAGAGACAATACCTCTATTGTATCTATCTTTCATATGGTTTTATCAGTTTTGTGTGGTATGTGGTAATCTAATTGATAATATCACTGTCATGTGATGTTTGTGAAATGTGTGAAGTTTGAAAATAAAAGTTGTTCAGAAATTGAACTTGAACAAATATTTAAAGTGTTTTATAGTTCATTGATTTGATTGTCTTCTTTTATAATCATCCATAAAAGTTATAATTTAACTGTCTATTTTGAGTTTGAAAAGGGAAAATTTAAGTTGTGAGAATTGCTTTGCATTTGCTCCAAAATCTATTGCTGAAGATGTAATTTTAAATGTGTGTGAAATCCTTGAACTTCATGTTTCATCATTTGAGGTGATGATCTTGTAGTTTGATGTTATTTAAATGGTGTGTTAGTTTTGCATGTTAAGATTGAATTATATGTTTTCAAGACTACCTGTTCTTTGAAATCCTTGTATTAATTTTGCATATTTTATACAGGACTTCTTAAGATGGAAAATTTATAGAGTTCTTTCGGAACTATACAGCATGAAAAACTGAGTGGTGTAGGACTCACAACTGCTGGTAAAGCTGTTGCACCAGTTTTGTGTTAGTAAATTGCCAGCTTCATTGCTCCTAGTGGAAGATTTCCAAAACATATGTTCATGAAAAAATAAACACTATTGTCCATTACGTTTGTAGTCATGGTAAGTTGCACGTATAAAAGTGTCACAAGAAATAACACTTCACCTTCAGTTATGATTATTGTTGCTTAATTGAAACTATTGTGAGATTCCAAACCATATTACATGGTATCGTGTAGTAGAATTATTGATTGAGAAGTCAAGCTTGCATTATACCTTTTTTCATAGTATTAACTACTCAGCTCATAAACAGAAACTCAAGAATTTTTTTTCTTGTAGCTTAGTATTTCAGTTCTATATAGTGATAAAGTTACAGAGCTTTCTGGATTATCTTTCACATGATTAGCATCTCTCTTTAAGTGCAAACAAGGAAGTTTATTGCTAAAAAACTAATGAAGTCAAGTTAAATAATTTTTTTAAACTCTTCTTTAACTGAATTGTTGAAATTGATGGTGCTGTGATCCAATTAAAAGAAGTTAGTGATTGACAGTTGTGAGTGGAAAGAAACAACATTACGAAATTGCTTACTACTTAGCACATGCTCCTGGGAGACCTAAATAAACACTTGAAATAAATACTTATGAAAGTAACCAAATCATATATTTACATTGTATGAAACAACAGCTAGTTTGGGAATGACTATCTCAACATAACTTGTCTCAATACAGAACAGAATGCATGTGCAACAATGAAACATGGGGCGGGTGAGAATATTTGCTGCATGATGCTCATGCGTTTCCGGTTCATCAGTAGCAACTTAGCGACCTGACTTGACACTTTTTCACTCTCTGAACGTTAGCTTCCATGGAAATGGGAGAGGCATCCTTTTATCAAATGCAACTGTCAATCACAGACTTATTTTAATTGGACCATAAGAAGAGGTTGGGAGTGCTGTGTTGGATATGGATGAGATTTTAATTATGCAAAGAAATATGAAGGATATTTAAGTTTATAATTTAATTTTTTAAGTGCTCTTTAGTCAGCATTTGTGATAATTTTTTCCCACCTGGAAGATTGTATTTAAATGAAAAACTTCTGAAATGTATATAATATTTTAATAGAGATAATTACATTTCTAACTGGTGATTTTGTTGACATATTTCTATAAAAAAAGCATTAAATGAAATGGTTGAAAATTGAAATTTTTGTAATGATGAAATTGTATGAACCTGAGTAATGAAAATTAAATTACTTATAATGAAGTTCATATCCTTTGGGTTTACTTGTTTACAAGATATTCAGTTGTTTGTATTAAGATGAAGTAGACATTAAAATGATACAATGGGACATAAATGTACATTAATTACTTTTTCATAATCTACTAGGGTCATTTACATTTTTGGTGCTCCCAGAGAAGTAGTAACAATTTATTATTATTATTATTATTATTATTATTATTATTATTATTATTATTTCACTCACAGGGCACATTCATAGTCCTTGTGTTGTGGAATTTTCTTATTTTACTTGGTCTGTGGTGGAAATCTTGTGCTGCTAAACCGTTAAAGCTTTTAGTTCATTGATAGACCTAGTCCAGTTTCTACTGATTTATGGAATATGGTCTATGTCAGTTTCTGCCTACTTGTAACACGTTTGCAGTAGACATAAAAATTAATTTGCTAAAAGTTTATTTACACACCTTTTACATGCAGCTACAATGGATTACACACTAAAAATATTAGTGTTTATGTACAGTTGTTATTTTGATGGTTAAGCACATCATTGGAAGTACAAGTGTTGCTCTGAATTATTATTGATACGTTAGTGGTTTATTTGATGTCTGTCTGATCACAAATAAGTGATTTCCTCTGAAATAGTTCTTAGTCATTTTAAAATAATTGCTTTCTTATTAAGTAGACAATACGTATCTTCTTTTTTTTTAAATGATCGGATGTTGACTGTAGATTCATAAAAAATGCATTGTCTTGTGAAATTATGTTATTGGATTCAATGTGAGAAATAGATAAAGAAAAAGTAATGGAGTTGTTTTCATGCATTGGTGAATTTGTTTATTTATGTTTATTTTGATTTTCAAAGAAAAGATTTGTTATGGGATCAGTTATGATGGTTTAGAATGTGTATTTGTGTTTGCTGTTGCAGTATATGCATTTTGGTTTCAGATTACTATGCATCCTTCTGAACCTGCTGTCACCAAATTTGGTCTTAAGGAAGAGTTCCAGATGATTACCAGTGTAGTTCCTGAACACCACTTGAGTGCTTGCTGCTAGCTGTTTTTACCACCATTCTTGTAAACCCCTTATTCAAATTAATCACTAAACTCCCCTCCCGCTTCTTCCCCAACCACTGTCATGTCAGGGCAGTTCCCTGCTCACCATCATAGTCGCCATCCTCCCATGGGAAGTCCTCAATCAGCCCAGGGTCATGGGATTCCCTCGTGGAGTCACCCTGGTGCGGGCCAGTCTCAAGGTCAGCGACCACAATATTATGGTAAATTAGCAGATAAGTGGATTTTGCTTTTCAAAAGATTTATAATATCTTATGCATTGCTTTCTATCTTATTATTTTCTTTTGAAAGAAAAGTTGGGAGGAGCTCACATGTACAATGCTTTGAATATGCAAATATTAATCAAACGTTCATTGTTTTTACGTTAACCCTTCCGCGTGGGGAGCAGAACGGCCGCCGCGTCACCGACTTGCGGACAAAGTGAGAGGGTGTGGTCTACCTGAGCGCGGCGGCCGGGCAGCGGCCGGGTGAACCCTGCCGCGGGAGTGTTTCACAGTGGGCAGCGCGAGCCGCTAATGATAAAATGACAGAATATAAATAAGCACTATTTACACAATATAAAACATAAAATACATTTATTTCCAATCCCAGATTAGTAAACTACAGAAATAGGCAATTTTTCTACATAATAAAATTTTTGAAATTTGATTAGTGCTGGTATCACATGTCACATCCAAATCGTCTTCATCTTCGAACACAGCATCGGAATCACTAGAACTGTCTGTATCACTGGAGTCATCGTCACTCTCTAACAAAAGCTCTTCCTCAATTGCTGTATCTGACAAAACAATTTGATTGGACATTCTACACCTCGGGCCCACTGTGTATGAGCACAAAATTAAACAATTTACACACTTAAAAGTAATAATAATACCACAAAATATTATTAAAACTGTCTTCAAGGGCTAGCTTCTGAATATTTGGCTACTTGTATAAACGAAGCGCGAGCAACAACAGTTGTAATAGAACTAAAAAAAACTTTCTGTGTTGGACACGGCAAACCGCAAATGAAAGGAAGAACCTAAAAGCGTTCTTACACGTCATCCCGCGACAGAAGGTAAAGGCCCTTCGCGTACCTGCCACGGCACCCCGAAATAGAAGTGAAAGGACTGGTGCGTTCAGGACATGGCATCCCACGCGGAAGGGTTAAGTTGTATTAATATGTTTTTGTTTTATTGCAAAGTCAGCCTCCACTCAGAGGACTGTATAATGTAAATGAGAACACATGTACTTCATTGTACAATCACCATTCTTTTTCATAAAATACAAATGTCAAAATCAGAAGTTTTTTCCCTTTAT